ACCTCGTTTTCGATCAGTGAATTTCGTTGCCTACCCGCGCTCACTCACTTCGCTAGCCGAAGCCTTTGCTTTCTCTCTTCGCTAACCTCTATTCCGTTGAATGCTATGAAGTCTGGGATCGAGCCCTTAGATTAGAATTCCAACAGCAGATTCATTCGCAAGAACCGATGCCGTACTTATTCAGTGGAATGCTCCGTAACCTTACTCACTATCTTGACTAACTTCACTTTCTTCTTTTCTTTCGAATCAAGCAGACCCCCTATTCTATTTAGACAAATGAGTTAGTCCTTCAGAAAGATAGCAACAGGCTAATTCAGTCACTTGCGCCTCTAAAAAAAAGGAAAGTGTCGATCTAGTTTGCTGCGAATCCTGCTCTTTCTTTAAGGTCCCACATTGAATCTCAAATAGGATAAAAAAAAGGACAGAAAGTCGTCTGTAAAGTCTCATCCCGTGCTGCCTGGGTACGAAAGAACTAGGTGTTGATTCGCTATCAAAATGGTTGAATATGACTAAAAGGCTAGGGTTACTGCCGACTATGACTCTTTTCTTTCCTTCTAGCTTTTACCCGGTCAAATGAAAAGTGGCAAGATTGAAATTGACTTCTCCGAAGGGATTTCGGGTTTCATCCAATTTGACGGGGAAAATGCAAGATGAAAATCCTAGGATTCCCAGTAAAGTAAGCACAGATTCACTAGAAAGAGAGTAAAGGGTCGCTAAAGTAGAGACACATAGATAGAAACAGACCACCGAGAAAATGGAAGAGTAAAATCAAAGCCCTTCCTCCAAAACTTGAAGCAAGACTTGAATCCGGAATAGCCATTTCCCTTTCATTTCGATTCTCGCTAGTTGAACGTAGCCTTGAGTGAAAATGCTTTGCTTTGAGTTCGTCCCTAATCACCGCTTAAACCCTCGGTGAAACTGGCTAAAGCCCCGTATTTGACACTTTGCATTCTAGTTGATGAGTTAAGAAAAGAAGTAGAATCCAAGTCACGTCGCATCCCACTAGTTTGATTGAGTTGTCTCAGGTGCGTCAGCAATGAAATTCATTCTTCTGTGGTGAATTCCCTATCATTTACGGTGCTTGGTGGACGCATGTGTGCCCTATTGGAGCCGTTTCCGGGTTCGTAGGATTCTTTGGATTTTGAGAAAAGGTAGAGTTTGAGTTTTCCCTGATTCGCCTATCGGTTGGAGCTATTGAGCCGAGCCATTCCCTTCTCCTAACTCTCTCCATTCATTGAGCTACCTTTGATTTCGAATACCTTAAGTTCTTCTTAGTAGTCTTGAACTCTCGCCTTTCACTTGTCTAAGTTCAACGGGAATTTAATTTTTATTATTTTCCAAAATATTTATTAAAACTTTGTATTCTACCCATCATTGTTTACAATGGATGGTGGGCGAGTACGGTTGGGAACTCCTAACACTTGCTCGATTTCTCTTGAGCGGCAATGCCTCTTAAGTTAGGCTTAATCAAGTGTGGGCTTGAAGGTTTTTGGAGTGGATGCTTCTTCTATATCAACTGAGGATTAGTCATGCTATCAAGCACCTTTTCGGAGATGGCAACAGGTGAATATCCCATTCTAAAAAAAAAAAAAAAACTTTTTATTCTTATAAATTTTAGCATTAATTTTGACTTCTGCTGTAAAATTTAAGCAAAGTTATAGAAGAATTCATATAAATTCTATTAAACTACAAATGACATTGAGATCTGACTGAATCTTAATTTTCTATCGTATCTTCCCCATTTCGGCTTAATTAAAAGATAATTACAGATTTATTATGATAATTAAGGCTATGAAAGACAATATTAACCTATATTGTTTAAGTTAATATTATCAAATTAATTATATTTTCTTTAATATTATTCATATATATCATTAGTAATTTATTATGATAAATAAGACTATAAAATATAAGATTAACTTCTCTTTTTTTTTTTTTTTTGTAAGTGAAAATAAGTACTTATTTTAGAATTCTTTTAAAAAATCAAATTACTAAATATTTTACCTACATCAAAGGAACCCAAAAGAGGAACAAAGAAAACATAATATTATAAATAGAGGCATAATATTAATTTAAATTAGTAATAGGACCATGTGTTTAAAAAAAATTAAAAAGAAGCACATTAGTTAAACAGAATGGTGCATTCTAAAGAATGCATTCATAATGCACCAAATAATTTGGCTCATTCTTTATAATGAACCAAATCATTTGATACATTTAGCCCAGTCAAATGAATTAAATTTTAGATGTAATATAGCAATGCGTCAAACTGTTTTGCGCATTCAATAGAATGCACCAAACTCTTTAGAGTATTCCATTGAATGCGCCAAATTATTTAATGCATTCTAAATACGCCAAATAGTTTAATGCATTCAATGGAATGCACTATTTCATTTGGCTAGTTTAATTCTTTTTAAATTTTATTTAATATTATGTTTGACACGCCATCGAAAAATTATCTTTATCGGACATGAATCTCGATGCAAAATCAAGTTGGAAACTTCCAAAATTAAAATTGGGACCATCCGAACTCCGATTTAAGCAAACTTACAGTCGAACTGAACGTCTCGGAAATATGAACCCAACAACACAAAATTCGACTAAATCCGAGCCCAAATGGGTCCAAATCAAGGGTCTGAAGCGCTATTGGAAGGTTCAAACCACAATTTGGATTACCAAACAGTTTCCAGACATTACATGCTTATAGTCGAATCGAGCGGCTCGATGAGTCAAATCCAACGAGCCCAAGATCATTGAATTTTGACATCATTAAGACCTTCAAATATCTGACGAACGGTACATGGTCAAGGGGTTCAATATCGGCCGTCCATCCAACCACTCCCCATTTACCCTTAATCTTTCACCTATTTACGGGTCATGCCACTCCAGAAACCTAAAATTGACCCTCATTTCTCTTAAAAGGGGGACCGAAGCAAGAAGAGAAGAAGGAAGAAGAGAAGGAAGAGAAGGAAGAAGCTCCTCCTCGACCACCGCTGGACCACCACTTGAGGCCCTCACCTCAGCCGGACCACTGCCTGATGTCGTTGCTCCGCCGGACCACCACCTGAGGCCCTGAGCTCTGCCGGACCACCACTTGAGGCCTACACCTCCGCCGGACCACTGCTTGACGTAGATGCTCCGCCGAACCATCACCTGAGGCCCTGAGCTCCGACGGACCACCACCTCATGCCGTTGCTCCGCCGGACCACCACCAAAGGCTCTGAGCTCCGTCAGACCACCACTTGAGGCTCACACCTCTGCCGAACCACCGCTTGACGTCGTTGCTCCACCACCTGAGACGCTGAGTTCCACTGGACCCCACTTGAGGACTTCACCTCCGCCCGACCACCGCCTTCATTGCTCCACCGGACCACCATCTGAGGCCCTGAGCTCCTCCAGACCACCACTTGAGGCCTTGACTTCCACCGGACCACCACTCAAGGCCCTCACCTCCTTCGAACCACCGCTTGACATCGTTGCTCCGCCAGACCACCACTTGAGGCCCTCACTTTCGCCGGACCACCACTTGACGTCGTTGCTCCGTCAAACCACCACTTGAGGCCCTCACCTCCGTCGAACCACCGCCTGACATCGTTGCTCCGCCGGACCACTACTTGATGCCCTCACCTCTGTCGGCCCACCGTCTAACGTCGTTGCTCCACCGGATCACCACTTGAGGCCCTCACATCTATCGAACCATCGTCTGACATCGTTGCTCCGCTGGACCACCACCTGAGGCCCGGACTTCTGTTGGGCCATCATCTGATGCCCAAAGTTCTACCAAAATACTGCCTACCTATAATGGTCTTTCTGACCATGGTCTCCTGCCAACTACAGTCTTTTGGGCCCCTCTCTCGTGCTAACTATAGTCCTTCCAATCAAACAAATATGTCTATGTTGATTAGTGTAACTCCCACCATGTAATGCGCTCTATATGATGTACATACCATCAAGGCCTTCTCACAAGGAAGGGCCTCATTTATAATCGACTACAAATACTAGTTGATTCATTTAAACTGGACCAGGCCCCGTGATTTTTCCGTCTTTTTTAGGATTTTCCACGTAAAAACTCTTGTGCCTCTTATGAACGCTACACCCTCTCTCTTATCTGATTATATACTGGATCTTCGTACAATGCTAAGACATTAAACTATATATTTATCTACCGCCATGAATACTCCATGACGCAAAAAGTTGATGTTCCTAATTTAATTAAAAATCACTCTCCTTAAATAAAATCCCAAAGAAAAAGAGGGAGACAGAGAGAGAAATGGAGAGATATATAGAGCGTAAGAAATAAAGAGAGAGAGAGAGTAGAGTAACAATAAGATAGAACACACTTATTACATGTATTGAATCTAACCCGCTGGTTGGGTCGGCCGATTCTCTCCCTACTATCTATGACAGTTTTTAGATTAGAGTATTTTTTTAAAATTAAATTACTTTGATGAATAACTAAGCATACAAAACTCCTCACAAACATATCTTGCATGTCCACATATCTTATATCTTTCTCTTTCATTTGTTCAGTTCAATTTAAATATTAATGGTTAGGTTTGATTTTGTAATTCTAAATATTATGAACAATAAAATGATGTTGAAACATAAGTTCGATTGGAAAAAATTTTAAATCATGCCTATCTAAACTTCTTAGGCCTCCTTTAAGATAACTTTCTTACTGCTTTCTAAAACAATTTTTAGGGACAAATTTATAATTCAAAATTTTTTGAAGAAAAAACCTGCTTTTAAAAATAATAAGAAAATTATTCCAAATAAAATTTTAATTTAATATGAAGCTATTAATTAGAATTTATTATCTCTATTGATAACCAAATAATTAATTGTAGCTTTTGATAGTGATATGGATCACAACAAGCACTTGATACATTAGAATATTTCTTATTTTATGTCTTTAGGCACTTGGAATCGCTGCAACTGAGTCAAAAGCTACCTACTTATGTGCACTTTGAGCCTCCTAAGAAATTTTTGGCAAAACAAAAAGTCCTGAAGACCCAATTTGATGATACTTAACAGCAACGGAATTAAATATGCATAAATTTGAAACATTAGAAGGGTCATACTAACCTAATGTAACCTATTTCTTCCAAAAACCTGATCCTAAACCAAAAAATTGCCTGAAAATACAGCTACCACAATATCCAGTTGCATTATTTAACGTCACGGGCCTATCTAAGGAAAAATTATTTTGTGCGGACACCGGACCATCTGGAGGCAAATCAGAAGGTGCCACATCACAACGGTACATAGCCACGGTACACAACAAACGGGTAACGTGGTGCGTTCTAATTCGTCTCCGAATAGCGTCCGTATCCGCACAGAATAATTTCACCTCACTAAGAGACTATATAAAGGATAGAAGACTATACATTTGATGCAACAAAACATTTACAAGTTCCTTTCATGAGGTTCCAGCCAAGGAAATCCAAGCATATCGAATACCTCTTTTTCAGTATTGCAGCTCACACTAGTGCTGGATCTCTTCCCCTGAACGCCATAACCAAGTTAATAAACATCACTAAATGCAAATAAAATTATCATGAAAAGAAGTAATAACTACTGTAAGTGTTAAGTGTTGAACAATTACTCGCTTTCCAGATGTGCCTGGAGTAGCTAAGAATAGCCCCGTATCATCAAGCCTGTATCCTTTGGATTCAGCCAATAACCTTAGCCTACAGTAAAATTACTTAATTAAACACTTCACAATGAGTTCAAATTAGCTTCTGAGATATGAGGTTATTATGGAATTTGACAATGAATACAAATTTGTTTTCCTCGGAAATGGGGTTATCATGAAATTTGACAGAAGAAATCAAAGCAGAAATACCAATATGAAATTTGACAGAGGAAATCAAAGCAAAAAATTCTAATTTTTTTTAAAACAAAAAAGGGAATTTTACATACATACCACTTTATAAGATATGTATTACATATTTAACATGCAAAACTTAAATATTACTTACATACCACTTTAATCCAAAAATAACCTCAGAAATACCACTCCGTCTTACTCCGTTCGCTCGGTTTCACGTTCAAGCCCGCTGTAGTAGTTAAAATCCCTAAAACCTTCGGCTCTTCCCACCGAACGCTTGAGGAAATCCGGTGCTCCTTCGTCTCTTACCACCGGAAGGAAAACTCAGGTAACGCTTGAGGAAATCCCGTGCTCTCCTTCGTCTCTTACCACCGGAAGGAAAAATCAGGTAAGATCTGCTCCTAAACTCCCCAATATCGTGTATTTTCCCCATTTTTTCTTCAGCTCGTTTGTCGTTCGTGAGGAAAAGTCTGTAGAAGCTGTAGTATTCTCAGGCAAGTGAATAAAGCGGGCGTGGATTTCTTCAGCCGGAGCATTACAGCCGGAGTAGTCGGTAGAAGCTGTAGTATTCTCATTCTATTTTAAATATTTTTTGTTAATTTCTTTAACCTGATGTTACCGTAAAAGCTGTAATATGTAGGAATGCAATTTATCTAAGTATTCTTCAGGTTACTTCAAATGATTTCAGTATAATGCTCCTACAGATTTATTCAGTTTAATGCAAATTTTTGGATAGTAGCAGGTAACTCCAAATTATTTCAATTGAAATCTAAATTTCTGTTTTTTGTAGCAGTGAACATAATTACAAGTTTGACAGCTTAGTTGCTTCAAATGAGTTCATCAAATTCATCTGCTACGAGGCGCCCACATTGTCAAGTTTACTGCTACTGTCATCTTAAGTGTGTTTTATATACTTGCTACCGTGGACCCAATTCTGGAAGGCAATTTTATAGATGCATGAATAATCGAACGGAAGACAATTGCAGGTACTTTAAATGGACAGACAACGTAGAAGAGACAACTTCTCGTGTACCTAATGAAGATGAAGGCTTTGAAGCTAGGATGTCAAAAAAGCAAGACTTGATCATCTTGTTGATGAAAGTCTTTATTGGTCTTGTTCTTGTTGACATTGCATTCCGTATTTATTTAGTATATTGTTGCGTGTCGAAGTAGTCCAAATGATGTAGAAGTTTATTGTATGGTTGCTGTGTAGTTGAGCATGAATGTTTTGATGAAGTGGATTGCAACATTTTGTAAGTTGTTTACTAGTGAATGAAATTTCACCTTTTTGTTCAAATTTTGATCTCCTTGTTGATTTACATTCAAGTCAATTTGATTCAAGGTTCATTTGAACACATAATTGCTTCCAACTAAAATGTGCTAGTATATGCTGGAATATTCCTGGATCGTGAAGTTCCCTATAAACGAATGCTTCCAGCTTAATCCCGTGAACACAACTGCTTCCAGGTTACACAATTGCTTCCAACTGGAATATTCCCGATTGCTTCCAGCTTAATCCCGTGAACACATAATTGCTTCCAACTGGAATATTCCCGATTGCTTCCAGCTTAATCCCGTGAAGTTCCCTATAAATGATTGCTTCCAGGTTACACAATTGCTTCCAGCTTACCGATTGCTTCAGGTAATGCATGGTTATAAGAACAGCCAAAAATTGTGATGTGGCAGTGAAGATTTCATATATATGACTAAAATTGTGATGTGGCAGTGAAGATAACCCATGAGCACACAATGTTAATTGTGATGTGGCATTGAAGATTTCATAAGCCAAAAATTACAAAATATGACAGTATATAAGAAGAGCCAAAAATTACAAAATAGGATAGTATAATGTTTGCTTCGAACAGCCAAAAATTGCAAAAAACAGCAAAAAATTATATCCAAAAACAGCCAAAAAATATTTCCAAAAACAGCAAAAAAATTACATTTGATGCTCAAAACCCATCAACATGTAGGTACTCAAGCTCTACTCCATCGTTGAAAGTCTCAGCAGTCCGTCTACTTTCCAACTTTCTACGCTTTGATAATGGGTTTTCGTGTTGTGTCATTGTATCATTGTTAAGCTTTGATAATGGGTTTTTGCATGTGCTCCGATGATGCCCCCAAAGTGAGCACCTGCTACATTTATGCACTTTCTTATCTTTCTCAAGGAAATTTGGTAATCTTCTTTTTTTGGGTCTTCCTCTAGGTCTTGAAGTGTTAGGCGCTCCAATATCGACCACATCTTCAACTACTTGCCATTGATCTTTATCAGGTAGTGTACCGATAGCTCCCTCGTATGCCATCCTATACCTAAAAAAAATACGAAGTATTTAACATGCAATGGAAATAAGTGCAAATCATGAACATATGTATTTATCATGGGAAGTTACCTATAAACGAAATACAAATCATGAACATATGTATGCCATAGTGGATACTCCTTCATTCCAATAAATGCAACAGCATGAATGCACGGAAGTCCTGTTAATTGCCAAACTCGACATGTACATTCTTTAGATTCAACATCAACAATATGTTTTGAATGCACAGATTCTACTTCAGCCTTCGAATTAGTGGATTGGCGCACTAACATATGCTCTTTTCTTGTTGTTATTTCCCTTATGTAATCTTCCGCGTGAGAAACTAATTCACGTTGCCATGTTATGCTCATCATCTTTCGCGCCAACCTTTGCTCCATGAGTTTACCACGAAGTGTGTCAATTAAGTCAACAACTGGTTTTGTTCGAGCATCTACAATCCATGCATTGAATGATTCGGCACTGTTACTTGTATTAGTAGCATGGTAGATGCCTAAAATGAACTGGCTTCTTGACCATTTATAAGGTAGTGTTGTAAGATATACATAGATAGTTGGGCTCAAAACACTAAGTTCTGCAAGCTTGTCATTGTACTCTGTGCTAGTATATGCTTCTGCAGCTGCCCACACCAAATTTTGAATTTTATGCCCTTCTTTGCAATGAAAATTTTTTTTCAAATTCTTCCACAGATGACGAATACATATTCTATGCTCAGCAGCAGGGTAAATTTCTGTTATAGCCTCTCCCAAACCCTTCTCCATATCTGAGATGAAGGAAAGAGGCTCTATGTGTGGGCCAACACTCTCTGCCAAGTTTTGAAGGAACCATAGCCATGTCTGTTTTGATTCAGTCTCTACGACGGAAAATGCTAATGGGAATAAACCGTTATTACCATCAAGTGAGGTAGCTGATAAAAGCATACCCAAGTGCTTTGATTTTAGATGACATGCATCCAAACTAATTAGCGGTCTACAACCATATAAGAATCCATCTTCGCAAACCTTAAAGCAAATATAAAATCTTCTAAATGAATGGTCAAGCTTATCATAAGAATATGTGATATGCGAACCTGGATTTCTATTAAGCAATTCTGCATGTAATTTTGGAACCCATTTATAATTTTCATCTATAGACCCAAATATATTGTCACGAGCATGCTCTCTAGACCTCCACAGCTTCATGTAAGGTAAAGAAAGACCGTAATCTTTCTCTAAATTGTTGTTGATGTCTTTCGGAGGAATGTCAGGATTTCTCTTAACTATATCTTCAATTTCATTGGCAACCCATGCAGTTGTGGCTAGTTTATTACCAGCGCGATTGATCCCAGGACAAGTGTGCACACCATAAACTCTCCTAATTTCAAAAGTTTGAGTGTCTTCACACAAAGAAGCTCGAATTCTCCATTCGCATCCTTCATAAGAACATGTAGCAATCACACGTGTTTTGTCACTTGCCTTTATCCTGATTCCAAAATTTTCCTTGATGGCTACCGATCGTAGAGCATGCTTGAAATGTTTGGCGTCAGGAAAGAAGGTGCCAACAGCTATATCATTATAAGATAAACTTGGAGCAATTGAAATACCTTCGTTAAAAGAACATTCAACTATATGCCCGGAAGTCATAACTTCCCTAATATCAGAAATTGATTCTTGTCCTTCAACTTCATGTACTGAAATGACTATCTCACCACGCAAATTATCGTTGGATGCTTCTATGAACTCAGCCACCTGAACGTCACAAATTATGTCTTTATATTCCTTTGGCGATGTACCATTTATATAATAATACATATTATATGGATGCCCTTTAAGCCATGGACATATTCGAAGAACCTCGCTTCTGAGCGCATAAATATTAAGTTGACCTTTCTCAAATTTAACACTCCTTTGTTTGCCACCGTCATACCTTTTTCTATGTTGTTCATTAGTTTGAACCCATTTCCCTCCATATTTAAAAACAACATGAATATACTCTGTCTCCTTGGAACACATCTTCACTTTTTTGGGTACTCTTATCGTTGGATGCTTCTATATATTCTGTCTGCTAAAGAGAGAAAGAACTCATCTTGTTAAAAAAATAAACCAAAAAAGTAAAAAAAAAAAAAAAAATTCTCACATTTGCTGTTGGGAATCACAGAGTATCCAGAGAACAGATAATTTACCTGAATCCAAAACCGGCCGAGCAGAGTATCAAAATCAGCGATCGCGAGCAGAGTATCGCGGCCAGGCAGAGGAAATATAAGCTAATCTCACAATTGCTGTTGGGAATCACATCGGCCAGGCAGAGGATCGCCACCAGCGATCGCAAGCATCCGAGCAAAGTATCGCGACCAGCGATCGTAAGCAGCGAGTAGAAGGAAGAATACGCAAGCAACGACCAAAGGGAATTTCGATCGACTGTGTTCGCGAGCATACCAGAGCTATTAGCGAACGGGAAATTTCCGCGTGGGAAGAGTACGCCGTGACGGAGGACGTAACGAAGTGGTATAAGTGATATATAAAATGAGTTTTATGTGGTATAATAGTAATATTAAATTTTTAGGTGTTAGATATGTAAATGGTTATGAATATAGTAGTATGTATGTAAATTTCCCAAAAAAAAAATGCACTAAAAATTTGCTTTAAAAAACTGTAAGAAAATTATCTCAAACAAAACTTAATTCTATCAAAACTTCAATTAAGATTCAAGTAAAACCAAAGGCTAGATCAAACGTATTTTGGGTGTCCAATTAGGCTAGATCAAACTTAATTTAGAAGAAATATTCCATCTACAAAAAATAAATAAACAATTCTCTTCGTGGCAATATCAATTAGCTCTTGAATATAATTTTTGGAAGTTGTCTGGAGTTCTTCCGAAGTAAAACACATGGATTTTTTTCGTGAAACAATACTCCCACTTCTTTACTATTAAAAACACAATATTAATAAGTCTAAGGACCCTAGATGACCACGTGATATTAGATGCTCTCTGATCTGGAAATAAGCCCTACACTTGAACAAAGAGATAGCCAATGCATGCTTCAAATGAATCTCAAAAGAAAAAGAATTGTTTACACCAAAAGAAAAAAAAATCTTTGTAATGAAACTACTTTTACAGTTTTCATTGTGCAAATATTAATAAGTCTTATGAAATATTCATTAAGAACAAGCAATCTGAATAAACATCTTATCAAAATAACCGTAGTCTGGGATAAAACTCCTAAAAAGATCCATTGGAATAGGCTATCGTGAAGAGAGCATTAAATGTGGCAGAGCAGCATTTTGAGCAATTTGAAGTGATGCTTGAGAGGATTACGCCTATGTTGACAAAATTAATTGATGGCAAGGTCGGGGCAAGTGATTGTGAAGTTTCGAATAATTGACAATAAAAAGTAGGATTTGTAAAAGGGGTGGTGTTTTCTAGTAGTTTCGATTTGGAGGAAGATGGAGTAGAGATTTACAAGTCTATATACCAGATTTTTTAAGTAGTTTAGCAGCATAGTGAGTATGACAGAGATATATGATGTTGAAAATGTGAGACTTCAAAGCGCAAGAAGTAGTTGATTTGCCCAAGTTTTTCATGCTAAAGGCAGAGCTACGGCTTGTGATTAACTTGGAGATAACAGCTTTGTCATTTCCAGTTAGGATGATATCGTTAACAAATATTAGTATGTGCATATTGATGTGATTGTGACTATAAATGAGCTAGGATGAATCAACAGTGTTTGGCTACACCTTGTTGTAGGTAGCTAGAGAAGATAAAAAATCAATGACGTTGTGTTTGCTTGAGGTCATAAATGGCCTTGTGAAGACAGCACACAATAAGGGGTCTTGAAATCAGGGTGGTTGTTTCAGTACACCGTTTTGTACAGGCGGCCATGAAGAAAGCATTTGAGACCTCTAATTATTGAATTTCCCAGTCACGATGAAGAGTAACAATGAAGAACATAGCCATCGGGCTGAAAGTTTAGGTGTAGTTTAAGAATGATCCTTGATTGAATCCTTGTGCTATCAAATGAGCTTTATATCATACATTTGTTCCATCTGAACCTCATTTGGCATGTACAATAATATCTTAGAACATTATAGGTGGGGGATAGAGGAACCAGGGACTGAGTCCCCTGTTGTTGTAAGGTGTTACACTATGTGGACATTGCAGTCCGCCAATACGGATTTTTGATGGCCTGAGAGAAGTACATGGGATCAGATGGAGTATAGACAATTGTGTGGAGATCAAAAATTGGTTCGAGATGAAAAGATGCAATTTTGAGTCTTGTCTGCATTGGGTGAGTAGATGGCACATCTGGAGGTGGTTGTGGGAGTTCTGGTTGGTGATTTGGGGCATGAGAAGAGGATTTAAGAGGAAGGGTGGATATGATAGATGTGGAGGCTGTGGATAATGGTTGTGACAGTGTAGGAGGTGAATTAATTGCATTGATGGTTATTTGACAGGTAGAGCTGATTGATAGAATCGGTGGGGAGGGAGTTAGTGTGGTAGAGGATGGTGCAAAGGGGTTGGATAGATTGATAGCAATAGATGTTTTGTTTGGTGCTATGGATAGATAGGTTCATTAAAAGTAACATGTCGGGAGATGATGATTCACCCAGCTCAGCGATTAACATTGAGTTCCTTTATATGAGGATAAGTAACCAAAAGAGGAAGTGGTGAGCCGATGGCATGCCAAGTATATGAGGAGATTGAGGTCAATGACATGGAAAGCATAATCAATCAAAGGCTTTGAGATGAGTATAGTCCATTGGATGATTAGAAAGCAATAGATAGTGGAAGAGGTGGTTTGTTGTCATGGATGGTGGGCAATTTATGAGATATGTTGCTATAATAATAGTGTCAACACAAAAATTCGAGAATGAGATTTTCTCGGTTTTAATGATGTGTCAATTCTTTCATTCGGCAGCGCCATTTTGCTCAGTAGTGTAAGGGCATTTTTTGTGAGAAAATGAGCAAATTAAGAGGAAATGTATTCGTCCATCAAAGTGGAGAATATTGATGTCTAAATTGAATTGATTGTCTGTTGGGTTTTTGAATTTTATAAATTTTTTGGATGTTTTAGATTTGTATATGTTAGGAAATAGCAAACAAAAATGAAAAAAAGAAAATCATCAATAAATGAAATGTGGTATTAAAAAATCTTGAATCAACAAAAGGTGAGGGTCCTTACACATCTGTCCGAATAAGTTCTATGATTCTATCAACTTATATGATTGTCAATTGAATTCTAGAAATGAAACTTTATGGCCAAATTACAATTTTATAAAGAGAAAACAAAGAGGGGATGAAATGGACGAAGTAGTGGTAGACTTGGAATGTCCAAGTCATTTATACCATAATGATGTAGCCACTGATTTGTTAAGCAGTGTGATGGGAAAGTTGGGTTGGGCAGGATGTGATGGTGCAGAATCCATTAGATCTGGACATAGGAGTAAGATGCAATTTGAATTCAAGTCCTTGATGGAATAGTCGAATATGTTGAAAAGAACTAAAGAATTATTGTCAATGACAAGTTAGGTGATGGCAGGGGTGCAAATGAGTCAAGCTGATGGAAGGGGTGCAAATGCGTCAAGCTGTATAGCGAGCTGGCTCAAGCTTAACAAGCTCGCGAGTCAAGCTCGAGCAGAATTTTGATCTCGTAAGATTATCAAGCTCGAGTTCGAACTGCGGAAGGCTCTCGTCGAGCCGCTCGAGTATCGAAGCGGAAACGTGGAACCAAAGACGAAAGGCGAAACGACAGGCTGAAGACGGAACAACGAGGGGTGAACCGGGAGCGGAAATGTCGAGCACCTACCGCATGCGAACCGTGGAGCTGCGTGCGAATGGCGAAAGGGGAAAGCGCATGCGATCAGTGGAAAGGTTGGGTAGTGCGAACGCAGAATTGAGCTGCTCGACAAGCTCATTTTCAGTGGCGAGTCGAGTTTGATTTCAACTCGAGTTCAAGCTCGGGATTTGGCTCACATGTTGAGCTTGTGTTAGATCCGACTCAAGCTAAGCTCGACTCGATTCATTTGCACCCCTAGTTGACAGAGAAGGTTGTGAGATATTTTTTTGAGAGCATGGAAATAGTAGGAAAGAATGAGATTATGGAGGGGGATTGGAAGCAGACCTTTATCGGAGGAGATAGGAATGGCTTGGTCATTGTCCGCTAAGATATATTCATTGCTAACATAGGGAATCTAGTCATGAATGTGTTGAATGTCAGGAGTAAGGTGGGTGGAGGCTCCAATATCCAATATCCAATATCCAATCAGTATTGGAGATTTGGATAGTGCTTGTGTATGCTATTGGAAGATGAACAGGTGCTAGTGGCCTATAATTGAGATTGGAATGGTGCCAAAATGTCACAAAAATGTAATCATTCTTTCCACGTATCTTGCATGTCATTGAGGGCTGCTTTGTTTAACCACTTCTACTTGAGTTAGAGGGAACACCGCCTCTACTGAATTGGGAGCGACCATGGCTGCGGGAATGAAAGTGGCATTTCAGTTTGGTTTAGTTCTAAGAGCAAGGTGAGGGCGCAGTTAGTTTGAACTACCTAATGTGTGTAAGTTAAATTCATCGCTACAAAGAATAGAGCATAGGTGATTGAGGTAACTGGAGTAAGTTTTGTGTCAAGTGACTATTTTGAAGAAGGGTAATTGGGAGGTAGGGTCATGGTCAATGTGAGGTTCAATTGTTTCGAGATTTTCAAATGAATGCTTTAACCTCGAAGAGATATTGAGTCATCAATTGGGTTTTCATAGAGATATATTAGGGAGCTCATTTTTTAGTTGCATCACTCGTGATTAATTTAAGGATTGAGGGTGGCATTTGATTGCATGCCAAATATTGGACCATGTGTTAAGGTTAAGGATATAAAGCAGTAATGAAGAGGTGATAGTGGAGGACAATGTGGCTTCCAAATTTTGGTCGAGGAGGTGCCACAGAGTGTAGTTTAGGGTTTGGGATGGGTAAACAATTGATGATAATGGTATGTTTGACTGGAAAGATGGAGGAGCCAGTAAGAAATCCATTTAAGTCTGTTGTCTTTGAATAGATTCAAAATCTGGGAGTGCCATATAGGATAATTTACACTAGTAAGCAGGTTTGGAACCATGTTCTTGATATTCAACATCAAGAACTTGAGGGAGGGAGGGAGGGAGGGAGGAATGGCTACATCGCCTATGAAGAGATTGCTGGGTCCACTATGGGCTGTATCATTTGTGGAGTTTTGATAGTCATCCATGGTAAGAACAGGGAAGATGCAGTTAGGAAATAATTTTTGATACCATGAAAAATGTATTTCGCAAACAGCATGTAGAGTAGCTACAAGTATGAGTAGAATTAAAGAACAAATAGACTGAGAGAACCAGCTACAGCATCATTCTTATTAATTACATCAATGGAAAAAAAGGAATATATATATATATATATATATATATATAAAAGGATATATATATATATATAGAGAGAGAGAGAGAGAGAGAGAGAAATTTTGATCATATGGCATTATAAAGTAATGATGAGGATGAGTACTACAGGGAGTTAGTTATAAAAGTGCAATGAGGATGCAATTCGCAATTTGCAGTGGCAGTGTTGTCAAGACCAAGACTTGAGACTCATGGTCTACATATTAAAGGCCTGCCCAAACTAGTCAATAATCCCTATCAAAGTATCAATTTATGCATGTTAATACTTTCAATTTTCTATTATTTGAGGGTTCATACAATTGGAAGCTGGCAGATTTTCTTTAAAAAAATTTTATAAGCATGAAACCATTTTTTTATTAGATTTTAACATTCCAAATGTAGATATATAACTTGTCCAGCCCCACCCTACACTTAGCATTACATCGCCATTTTGCAGAATAGTGCACAATGTACTGTTGTTAATTAATAAGCTGAAGAAAAAGAAAAAACAAACACGATGCTAAGTTGCAAACCTAAACATATTTACAAATTTTATAAGCCCATTATTAGATGATATATGGTCATTTACAATCAATCACACCCCACGAAAAAAGAGCACTAATGACAGTTGATTGCAAAGTGGTACCATACCTCCTATTTAGCACATCATTTCCGGTCCAAGCTATTAGTCCAAAAGCATATATGATCTTTGGATATACCTGCCAATTGTCACTTCATATCATGATAGAACAAATAGCAAATATTTCATAAGTATCAATTGAAAAATAGTAACTAACATTGGATAAGAATATATATAATGTTTATATGCATGTCAATGTTCCATTCAAATCTCATTAATGGGTTTGGAAAACACCAAACCATATTAAACGGTCTTTTTTTGTAGTCAACCAAGTTCAATGCCCAATATAAACAACCATTGCAATCAAACTAATTGTAAAATAATGTATGAAAATTTCCAAACCAATAATTTAATGTGTTCGTATCACTAAAGCATCATTGCACTTAACTGATCACTGAACACCATTTAGACCCAATTTTCAAATTTGGCTTATTATGATTGGACCCAACTTACGAACCATTTTTAGCCTATAGAGGAATTCATGTAATAAATTAAATCACGAAAGAAAACTACTAATGCAGAACAATCAGTTCCTAATAAGTTATTTATTGTTTCCCAATCATCACTTGCGCAAAACAAACAAGAACAAAACCATAACCACATTAGAATTTTTTAGCACTAACCTCATCATATATTTAAGAGGATAATTGTTAAGAGTATTTTCAATATAATAGTTTATTGTTTGCGTTTTAATTCTGATGCACGTAGTACGCCTTATGGCCAATTTTGGTAGCCAATTACTGGTTTGTATGTGATTGGAAACTAAAAACTAAATCATGAATTGTTAACCTGATCTATCCAGTTTTTACTCTACACAACATGGACACGCTTTTGAGCACGACCTATAAGCAGTAGCAAGTAATGTGCCGTCTCTTGCTGATGCAAACTATAAAATTTCAACTGCTACTTAAAAGGAGCTCCATCAACGTACCTTCAAATCAATGCGATGTCGCAGTTCTTGTCCAGGATATGTGCAGAGGCCGAAGTAAGTGTCAATCCCGGAATCAGTTCCCTGTATGCTAAAATGTAGTCAAATGATAAGCATGTATTGATAAACTCGATTCAGATATGGACCCCAAAGTCTTAATATTTCTTTAATTATGAGAATGAAATTAAAACACGAGTTCATAAAATTACCTCTGTGCTATGAATGCTGAAAACCAAATCCTCTCTCAAAAAATTTATGTCCTTCAAACGTTGAACATATTTAGGTAAAAAGCCCTTATGGCTGCAAAGAGAGAGATTTGAAACAAAAATTTAATACACAGAAAGATGCACACAACACCACATTTCATAATAGAGCAACTAATATTGAAAGAAAAAAAAAAAAAAAAAAAAAAAAAGACAAGCCGGCATGTTTTTAACGGTAACATTGAAACATCCGAACAAAACTGTAATAATTAGGTGATTATTTATTAATTATTAATAATCTATGGGTATTAATAGTAACTTTGAAGTATAAATATCAGTGTATGTGTGTGTATATATATAAATAAAAAGAGAGAGAGAAAGATCAAATTGGTCCCAACTCTTTTGAGGACCAAATCGGTCCCTCAACTATTTAAAACGGTACCAATTTGGTCATGACGTTAAAGGTTAACGGATGATTTGGATCCACCGAACAAATACCAGGGCTAAAACAGGAAAAAAAAATCCATGTTTCATTATACGAAAAAGTGCCAGCAGCGTCGAATCAAAATTTAAGTGTTTGTCCCCTAGCGAGTGTCCCGCGCACTCATCAACTCCACTCCCGTAGCCTTAGAAAGTGTCCGAAGATCGAGCACTAAGCATCGATCGCGTTACTTCCACAGTTGTGACGCTGTCACCTGGTGCGGCACAGTAGTCTGCATCCCACAGGTACGTCGTTTCCACAAGTGCCTCGCTTTCGCATGTGCCGATTTCTCTGTTAACTAGTGTGGCACAGTCGTATAAAGTAGGTTGATTATAGATTGGGTTGATTCAATGTTTAAAATTGCGTATTAGGGTATTGAGGCGTTTTTCATTCGTGAGGCGAGGCGTAAGCCTTAAGGCGTTTTGAGGTGTAAGCCTCAAAATCAAAAGATTGCGTAAACATAAAATAATAAAATTTTTATATACTAATGAGTGAATAATATAAAACATAAAAAAGCATAAGATATGAAGTGAAATCAAAATATCCCAATAATAAGACAACATGAAATATAGTTCAACTCAAAATTCTATCTTTCCCAGATCCCAGTATTATTTTCATTAACATATAATTCAAATTTCCAAAAATAAATAGTAATGACATATCACATAAGAACTCATAAGTCATCAGCACTATCATCACTAAGGGATTCTTCATTTGAATCATCATTATGATGAACTGCTCTCTCCCCTTCCTCCTCTCCTATAGAGTCCAATGTCGGGCATTTACTTCAAGACAACGTTTAAAATTGCGCAATAAGAGGCGCACCTCAGCGCAATTTGGTCCATTTAAGCCTCAAAGCCAATGCAATAAGTTCAATTTATGAGGCGCGCCTTCTCGCCTCATATATTTAAGGCGCCGCCTCTAAAAAATTAACCTAAAGTTTTTTTTTCAGTTCGGCCCCCCAGTTGCCAACTTGGCGTGCCTAGTGAGATGTCGTCGTGGCATCAACATTTAAACCCTGGTTTAGGTCAAATGCAGAGGCGGCGTTTAGATTTTCAAGTTCCAGCAAAAATTCGAACTTTCAAGCATTCACTTCAGAGCAATTTCAAGCATTCTTCACTCAGTTTCTTCTAAGATGTCGTCACCCCCAAAGAGAAAGGTAACTTAATGCTATGTTTTCTATTACGTACTGCGTATTTTATGGTTATGCTATGCGTTGGTGTTCAAGGTTCTGAATATCTTCTTATTTTATGTTTATTCTATGCGTATGCATTGCTTCTCGAAACTTTTTAAATGTTTGATACTTTGATGTCATCGTGTTTTCTTTGCATTCAGGGTTTATGATGAATTTATGTTGAAATTTGAAACATAAAACCTAACTAAATTTTAAGCACCGAGTAATATATGCGTAGGCTGTGCGTACGCAATGTGTCTTTTGTGCGTATGCTATGAGTACACGTTGCGTGATCATTGCTTATATTGTGCGTACTTTATGCATGCGTATAATTTGCTGTCATCTTTTCTGCAATGTGCGTTCTTATGCGTATGTTATGCATATACTATGCGTGATCAGTGCTTATGATGTGCGTATTGTTTGTGTTTGTATAATTTGCTGCCATGTTTCATGCACTGTGCGTTCTTGTGCGTATAATGTGCGTAATATATGTGTATGTTATGCGTACACTGTGCGTGACCGTTGCTTATATTCTGCGTATGTTGTGCGTTTTTTGTGCATATCTCATTTACTTATTTTTAATTTTTTATTTTTTTCAATTTTTAGATAAATGTTTGTCCAATTACCTATCTATGTTATGTTTCTTCGTTTCGAACAATCTGTGATAACTTTGCTCAGCAAATTACTCCTGAAGTCAAGGACACATTGAAACGTTTAAAGATGATACAGTTTTTG